TCTCCAATCACTAGTTACTCTTGCCCCACAGACCCCCAACCACCCAGTCTACAAAATCGTCCCACATAGTTCAAACCAATAGTCAAACACTTCATACATTGATGCCATGTTGTAGTCTGGCCGTCTCAAGCCTCAAGCCTCTTCACAGACTCAACCTACTTCGGACAACATTGTGTGATGAGGCAATCAGCGACTAGGCATAACTAACACATGTTCCAACCAGCCATCTCACTTCATGCACGTTCATAACCGTCTCAACTCACTCAACTCACCTCTTCTCCCCAAAACTCTACACCTGACTTCTACACTACTCACATGGTAACACCACGGAATACGACATGTACTAAGAGGGCAACGGTGGTCAAACACTTGAAGCCAGCCCCCTCTCATCTCTTCCACCTTCAATGGCCATGTTTCACACACACACACACACACAGAGTAGAACAGACCAGACTGCTGTGCAGTACACCCCACCCTGAATAGACAATCGGATATCACCGTGGTGCCACACAGCGTTAGTTGACGAAAGCCAATCAACCCTTTGTATCCGTGTAGAGATTTCATCAGCAACTGACCCAGCAGGGCATGGCCGATCCTACTTCACTTACCAGGTAAGTGAAGTGGTTGACACAGTCACTCTCTATTGTTAGCCACGGTGGGGCATCGTTGAAGACCAATCCTGGAGCAACAATTTGCATTTCCGTGGTGACAAACGCATCTCAAACTTTCTCAAATTGCCACTCAAAGTGTTCAGAAGACAACTGTTGAGCATTTTGTCAGCGTGTTCACTTAACAGGACTGCATCATCTGCACATTGTAGGTCTAACGAAAATTCTCCTGAGATTAGGTCAATGTCTGTGTAAGCTGGTGACGAGAGGGAGACCTGCATGGGAATATCTATGATGGAATTGAATAAGAGTGGAGACAGTGGGGACCCTTGACGGACACCGCTCGATGAACATAGCTCCTTGGATATCTCACCATAGGCTCCAACACGTCCACAAGTGTTCGAGTAGAGAGGCTTCACTAAGATGTACTTGCTACTACTTCGAGAGAGACTTTATATATTCCTAATTCTCATTCTCTGCGATAACAAGGGTAGTGGAATTTTCCACACATCTGGGACAGGTGCAGAATCATTTCGATTGCTGCATGTATTTGGTATTAATTCGATAAACAAAGATTCGGTTATCAATCTCTTCTTCCCTCAACCCAACTAAGTTTTCAACACTGTCACCCTATCCCACCGTACTGTGTGGTTGTGTATCATCGCATGCAGAGCTTTTCTCCAAATTTCTTATCTTAATTAGGATCCACAAATCTTGATTTAGCTAAGTTTTTGTGCTCTGTTATTCTAATTCATCCTGGTTGACTACTTTCACCTATGTACTTGACCTCACAACCATTGCAAGGGATCTGGTAAACCAGATTATTTCGCTTAATTGCGTCTATAGGATGTTTTAACCAATAAAGCTTGTTTCGAAGCGAGTTTGTTGGTTTGAATGCCACTTCTGATATTGGTCTATATACCACTGAAATACACTCCTACAAGTATTGTTTACCACATTACTGATTCAGCAGTGTTATTCAGTGATGCATTACGACGCATATAGGAATTAAAGGCTAATTTGTATGCCTTTTTCAGTCACCTAGTTAGGGCTTTAGCGAAGGTAAGATTTCATGTGGTGTTTATTTGTAGTTTGAGTATGTATTACACGGCCTTACTGAATTTGACTCCTTTTGACCCACAGCTGATTATCATTCTGTCAGCAGGATCCTGATGAATAAGATAGCGCTTACAGCAGAAACGTTCATCCTGTTTACAAAAATCAAAAAAGTGAATCAATAGCGACAAAGAAGCACGAAACAGATTAAAAATCATCAGCCCATCACTGTATTCACTATCAACATATTAATATCTGTAAAGATTTACAGTTCAGTTTGAATAATCTACAATTGAAACTGAGTTATGATTGAATGTGAGATGGAAATTTGAACCGTAATAGGGTTTGAACCAGCAACTACTGGGTTACCAGCTCGGTGCTCTACCAAATAGGCTACGAGGCTTGACCGCTAACCAGATTTTTATTTCATTTCAACCACCAAGGGTTTTGCCACACTACCATATGAATTCATGATCCGTTATTACCGCCTGGCTGCCTAGTCAGTCAGTATCTCTTATCCCAATCGAAATCTAACTGAATTAGAGAGAAGGAGCATCATACTGATTATCATTTTGAATATCTATAATTATCGGTATGTTTTCAAGTTGAACATAAGAACTCTTTAACAGGGTGAAAGGAGGGAGTATTGAAGATGTGACACAGAAATCAACTACATTCAAGAGCATCGTCAAACAGACTGGCCCCCTGAATATCCTACTAGACACATTCCAAGCGGACAATAAGAACAGATCTAATGAGTACCGCAAACCTTTATCCGCCTCATTCAACAACTATATGAAGATGCCACATGCCAGGTAATCCACAATGGGAAGCTCAGTGATGCCTTTGAAGTGAAGACAGGAGTGAAACAAGGTTGCCTACTATCCCCCATGATATTCCTTATTGTGGTGGACTGGATCATGCAGCAAACAGTAGGCAGCGAGAAGAGGGGGATACGCTGGCTGAACCGCGGAAAAGAACCTAGAAGACTTGGATTTCGCCGATGACTTATGCCTAATGTCACACAAACTTGAAGATCTGCAGGCAAAAACTAACAAGTTGATAGAAGAGGCAGCGAAGACGGGACTTCAGGTGAATATAGAGAAGACAGAAGTGATGAAGATACCGCACCACCACCATCAACAACAACAACAAACTCCAATCACCGTCAACGGGAGAAACTTGAAGGAAGTAACCTCCTTCACTTATCTAGGAAGCACTGTTTCAACTACAGGCGGGACGGACGAGGACGTCAAAGTCAGAATCGGAAAAGCAAGACAGGCGTTCATTAGCCTGAAACCAGTGTGGAGATCTTCTGCACTCAGCATGCGGAACAAGATACGGATTTTCAACACCAACGTCAAGTCAGTGCTCTTGTATGGCTCAGAGACTTGGCGCGTCACGAAAGGCATTTCCAATAAACTACAGACATTCATCAACAACTGCTTACGCAACAAGGAACTCTGGGAACGAACCAACCAAGAACCTATCACGCAACAAATATGCAGGAAGAAGTGGAGATGGATTGGCCATGCACTGAGAAGGCCGACTGAGGACATCACGCGTCAGGCCCTCGAGTGGAATCCCCATGGGAAGGGACGAGTTGGACGTCCGAGGGTGACATGGAGGAGGCCGTGCGAGGAGGAAATGAGAGCTTCTGGGCTGTCGTGGAACCAGGTTCAAAAGATCTCAGAGAACAGAGGTCACTGGAGGCGTGCTACTGAAGCCCTATGTTCCACTAGGAACCCAAGGGACCAATAATAATAATAATAATAATAATAATAATAATAATAATAATAATAATAATGAATTGATTTCAGAAAACATCCCTCGACATATACACCTTAGATAAACTAATCCACAAGGCTATAAGACTCTATCCATGACTATGAAACGTAGGCATAAAAAACCCCATGTGAATCAACAACAGCACACATACAACATCAAGACAGAATAAAACACTCAACCAATAAAGATACCTTCAAACAAGAAGTGAATATTAAAAATTAAGTTGGCAGGGTAATTATATTTACAAAGATTATAAAGAATATCATCCATTGTTATCAATTCTTAGTTATATTCCAAGAAGAAATAAGTCTGTTGTATAGTTACTTTTCAACTATTTAGATTGTTTATTCAAAGTAAACGAGAAGGTCATCTTCGAAACAAAACAAAACAAAACAAAAATGAAAATTCATCTTTGTAAACAAATTCAGACAATGATTAATTTGAGCCTAAACACAATTCAAGATATCAGTTGTTATATGTATATCAACAACAACAAGAAAAAAAAAAAGGAATCAGCAGGTATTATTCAATAAAATCAATGTAATACTACTCAGTTATATTCATTATACATAAGCAAAGAGTGAATAGTATAAGATATAAACGATGCTTAAGACTAGAAGATGTATTCAAAGGTACAGAGTATTGAAGACTATAAGGCGGTCATTGAAAAAGGCAACCAACCATGTGTATTGAAAGCAGAAGAGAACCATAATGTAAAATATAGTTATAGCAATGGCTATGTTCTTTCAAGGGATTAATATACAAGAAGGTATACATATATATATATATATATATATATATATATATATATATATATATATATATATATATATATATATATATATATATATATATATATATATGACAAGTCCATGTATCAGATACTTAGTTAACACATAGTATAGTTGTTATATCAAGAGGGAAATGTTTTTTCAAAGTTAAAAAATACACAGAAAAAGTCAATTAGTAACCAAAATGATTTTTTTTAGATTAGATTTTGTAAGAAAAAAACATCAATTCAATCATTATACTCTCAAAATATGCTCCTACATTAATTAAAGAGTATTTGCTAATACTAACTAGTACCAATAGATTCCCATCTCAATGTGTACAAAGAGAAGATAGTAAAATGAAAAACCTATTCTACAGACTTTCAGTCTATAAAACTTACTCTGGAGTTAAACATAGAATGTATTCCGTGTAAAATATAAAATGAAATTTAGAAATCAGTGTTTGTTTGCGATAATAATAAAAAATGATTATGAAATAATAATAATAATAATAATAATAATAATAATAATAATATGAAATGTACACAAGGCGATAAAGAATGTTATAAAGAAATGATGGATAAGGCGATCAGAAAATCTTCAGATCATAACAAATAAAATATAAGATTAAACGAAGTATAGAAAATTCTGTTGTTACCAACTATTTATAGCTAAGTGATATTTTCTGGTGAAAGTATTCTCTAAACAATTAAAATATCACATAATAAATATTTCCTATCTATTCATAGATGAATCACGAGGTTGACGTGTACCACTACTACTACTACTACTATTGTTATTAATACTGCTTGGGACTAGACTACTTGAAGGGGCAACAGAACCTCGATTATATTTATCCACTATACGTTGAAGTCGAGCATTCTCTGCCTTCAAATCTTCAAGTTTCGATTGTACTTCACGTAGCTAAAAGAAAATGAAATAGTATAAATAATTTTTTTTTTAAAAACCAGTATTCTTCATAGACTGAAAATTAGCTTGAAGAATCATTGAACACCTAAGAGTAATTACTAGAGAAGAGCTGTTACGTCCAAGTATTGAACTACCTAGCAGTATGGAGCTACGATCCTGCCAGGGATTGAACTCAGCACTTTTAGGTTCCTCTGAGAGTGAGTTAATCATTCAACCATAAGGTCAGAGTTCAATGGTCAACAGTTTTCTACATCTATCAATTTTGACTCTTTCAAAGCCATCACATTTCTTGTATCACCTAGTTCCTCAGGTCGAAGTAGATGGAGTGAAGTTCGAAATCGAAACTTATTGCTCGAAAGTTAGGTTGTCAAGTCAATAGGCTACATCTTCAACAGATTGGAATCTTATTCAAAATTCAAAGAATCACTAACCGAGCTCACAGTACACTATTAGATGAATCAGAAGTATCTTACTATAACTTGACGTGGCAAATGTTGATAAACTCACTTATCGACAAAATCAACGTAGGATCTCGCACACAGGTACATCGGTTCAAGTTGCCACACTTCACAGTAGCGTATAAAGAAGAGTGGCATAGAATAAGGGTGATATCAAAGTAGATAAAGTTGTGTGAACGAATAAACAATCTAAACATAAAGGTTAATGCAAATGTGCAACTATTAGAAGATGTCAAATAGTTAATACATCTGCACCATTGTTACCAATTTTCACCGATATCACCAACCACTGATTCCTGTTATCTTGAGGACCCCAATCAGACAGTCTACATCTCACACCACTTAAACCAACAGTCAGAGACTTCATCGACTGGTGTCAAGTTTTGGTCTGGCCATCCTGAACCCTCATCCAACTTCCCCTAGCATGAGAAATTTGAGGGAGGCAGTGGATCGACGTGCGCAACACTTGTCCACAACCCCATCAGTCAGCTGGTCTGTCTTGTCTTCTGCCCATCACCTGACCCTAATATTTCTCACGTAGTGATTACACCAAACGCGAGCAATGCAACGAAGACACCTGTGATTAAAACCCTGTAATCACTTCATGTCTTCCACTTCTAACAATCATGTCGCACAGCCGTACAACGCAACAGAACAGACTGCAGCGAAGTATACTCAACCGTTGATAGATAGTCAGACAACTGGCCAGCCGACGTCACAAATGACGCAAGTTGGTAAATGTTAATCAGGCTTTTTGTAACTCAGATGATAATCGGTGAGCAACCAGGCCGTTCAGGCAGATGCAACTCCCCAAGTAACCATCCCATTACATCACTCGCCATTATTATACTTGGAGTGGTTAAAGACCACTCCTAGAGCGTTATCTTACATTTGACAGATGCGGTGGAAGGTATACCAGCCAAACATGCTCAAAATTCTGCTCAACATGTTGAGAAAAACACATGCATTTTTTCAGCCTCTTCATCCAGCAGCATAATATCATGTTCATACTTTAAATCAACCAGATCGCCTGCAAGGAGTAGATGTACCTAAAGTTATGTCCATTCATAATCACGACAAAGATATAATTTATCAATCAGTAAATTCTTCAAATACCATTGCTTTTTCATAAACTTGAAACTTACTTCACGTTGACACTTCCGTCGATCTTGTTTCAAGACTTCTTCTTGTTCTTCACATGCATCTGCAATTGCTTTATATCGTTTTGTTTGTCCTTCTAAACGTACAATCTGTATTGTAAGGAAATATATATTTCAACATACACGAAACATCTCTCCAGGATAACAAATCAAGTAATCAGTCGATATCGTGATGATGAGTCTCCTAGGTCAGAATCCAAAAACGCAAAATGATCGATAGGATTCGATCAGTATATGGGACCAGGCAATATAAAGTTGGTTAGCCCCCAGTAACCAGTCAATGTACCCAATCCGGTCCTATAGGAGGTCAACCACGGTCTCAAACAGCTCAGTGGTAAAGTCTTTGATTGTAGTACTCGGTGACGCCGGGTCAAATCTGAGACAGAACATCAGTCCCGTCAACAAAGTTGCTGACCAGTGACAAAAAGCACGAAACCTAGGTTCCAGGGCTTCCTGTCGATTGCCTCCAAACAAGTAACAGTGGAATATGTTTCATGAGTAAGCTTTCTTTCCGTTACATTTTACCAGTTAGCTTTGCTTAAAGGTGAACTGAATGGTCATTAGTTGAATTACGAAAGGTGATCAATACATAACGTAGGGCAGTGGAATAAAGTATATTTGCGTTGTGAAGTAGCGTTTTTTTGGTGATGTGTTCTCTCAGCCAGACGATTTAATCATGGAGCTCTAGACAACATCATCAGTATAAACTTTAGAAAGAAATGAGCTATGGTTTTTTTCCACAAGTGGCTTAGCAGCTTGTCCTGATGACATTTTGCATGATTGGTTGCTGCAGCCAAAGTCTTGTAACTTTCTCCACATTCATTCTGATCGGCTGCCTTGCTGACGTGAACTATGACCTTCTTCTTATTTCTTATCAGTTGGTGGACTGAGTCAATATCTGTATGTTTGTTGATCACTGACTGACATGAATGACAAGCTTCTAAAAATTCTCTGACATACTTTGTATTTCCTGTATCCAAGATTTCCACATTTTCCCAGTCAAGTTCATGTCCACAGTTGTCTAAGTTTATTGATATGAGTGAAGATATGCCATGACGCTTCACTACCAGTTGATGTTCATCCAGATGGATACGAAGAAAGTGACCACCTTGTCCCATATAATGTTTTTCACAGTCTCTGCAGTTTATTTTGTAGATAATGTTTGGTTTGCTTTTCCTTGCTACTGCATCTTCGAGCCTGCATAATTTCTAGAATCCTGGCATACAAGTCAGTCAGTGATTAACAAACATACTGGTATTGACCTAACCTATCAACCAATCAGAAAAAAAAGAAACATCAAAGTTCACGTCACCAGGACAACCAATCGAAATTAATATGGAGACAGTCATAAGACCGGCAGAAGTAACCAATCAACTAACAAGTTGATAGAAGAGGCAGGACAGCGAAGACAAGACTTCTTCAAGGTGAACCTACAGAAGACACACGTGATGAAGATACCCAACCACCACCACCACCACCAACAACAACAACAACACCCAAGCACCATCAACAGGAGAAAACTAAACGAACTTGTCTTTCAAATTCCTAGGCAGCGAAGCCTCGTTTCAACTACAGGCGACACACGCACAGATGAAGACGTCAAAACCAGGATCCAGAAGACAGCAAGACAAGTCTGCCTTCATCAATCTGAAATCAGTGTGCAGATCTACTCCACTCCACTCCACCCACAATAAAGCCTGAACAATATCCCGATTTTCAACACTAATTCAGTCAAGTGAGTCAGTGCTCCTAGGTGATGGTTCAGAGACTTTGCACCTCACGAAAAGCATTTCCAACAAATCACAGACACACATCAACAACTGCCACCTACGCTCACTCACTCGATACTCACATTGAAGATCAGATGGCCATAAGCAACAAGCAACTCACTCTGGCTGGCTGGCTGGCAACCAACCAACAACCCACCAACCAACAAATATACACAAGAAAGTGGAGATGGATTGGATTGGGCGTACACTGAGAAGATCGTTTAGGGACATAACGCACCAGGCCAGACCCTCGAGTGCAACCTAAATAGGAAACGACTAGTTGGGCGTCCGAGGTGAGGGTGACATGGAAGAGATCGTGTGAGGAAGAAATGAAAGCTTGTGGGCAGTCGTGGAGCCAGGTTAGAAGAGAAGACTGTAGAGAAGAGAGTGAAATGGCGACGTGTTACTAGGATCCAAAGGGACAAATAATAATAAGTAAGGCAGGGAACTTAGAAAAAAGCTGAGCCATAGCTATGCATGCAATTACACACAACTACCCAATGGGAAGGCATAGAGTAGGGAGAGAGAGACATTAATAACTGAATCCTTGTTCATCGAGTCATCACCTAATAACATGCAACAGGAATGACTCAGCACGTATCAGGAATATACGTAAAATCTTACTATCAATATCGTAAAGGAGGCAAGAAAATTAGGACGATATAAAGGACATCTCAAGGTTGTGGAGTTATCTTGATATGATTAGGGATAATAAATTGTTTCCGAAACGCAATCCAGTAGACAAAACTGTTCCGCTGTGTTTGTGATACTGTGTATTGTTTCTTTGTATGGATCACGAGTTCAATCCTTGCTCCACCTACAGAGATTTACATAACCGTGTAGTATCATTAGACCTTACAAAATGGGTATGGCTCATTATACACAAGGTTGCTCTGAGTGTATTAATTCATCGGTCACTGATTCTGATTCATCTTTTCTACGGAATAATGTAAGCCATTCAACTTATTATACTTATTACTGAAGTTGTAAACTAGTGGAACTTCCTGCTAAAGCACACAGTATCATCACCTCTTATGTTGACATTTCCCAAGCAAATTTGGATCCCCATAGTGTTACAAACCTTTAGTAGTACCAAAGACAATCAGTACTTCGTTCGAACATAATTATTCAATGTTGAATGGTGAAGAGTTATTTCACGAAATAAGATATGAAAGACATTGGTTAGTCAATGTATTGTATGGCATATAGAATGAAATATGCCAGAACCATGTTAGCTCAATTGTTCAGTGTTGGTGAACTGACCAATATATAAGTACAGTTATACATTCTAATTTATTTTAGCTTTATATCATGAGGACATTCATTCTGAATGAATTCACCTATGTCAGCGGGATCCTTTCAAAAATCGTCATATATCAGCTTATATACGCTTGTCTTCCTGTCCGCTGGGCCACATTCAATTTTTCGCCCTCCGCTTCAGTAGCACGTCTCCAATGCCCTCTGTTCTCTGAAATCTTTTGAACCTGACTCCACGACAGCCCACAACCTCTCATTTCCTCCTCGAACACCATCTCCTCAATGTCACCATCACCTAGGACGCTCAACTCGTTGCTTCCCATAGGGGTTCCACTCGAGCAACTGGCCTGACGCGTGATGTCCCCAGTCGGCCTTCTCAGTGTATGCCCAATCGATCTCAACTTCCTTTCACTGCATATTTGTTCAGCTATAGGTTCTTGCTTCGTTGCCAGAGTGAGTTCCTTGTTGCTTGTTCTTTCTGGCCATCTGATCTTCAGTAACGAGCCAGAGTGGGCAGTTGTTGATGGATGTCTGTAGTTTGTTGGAAATCTTTTTCGTAACGCGCCAAGTCTCTCAACCATACAGAAGTACTGACTTCACGTTGGTGTTGAAAATCCGCATCTTGTTCCACATGCTGAGTGCAGATCTCCACACTGATTTCAGGCTAATGAACGCCTCTCTTGCTTTTCCAATCCTGACTTTGACATCCTCGTCTGTGCCTGTGCCGCCTGTAGTTGAAACAGTGCTGCCTAGATAGGTGAAGGAGGTTACTTCTTTTGAGTTTCTCCTGTTCATGGTGATTGAAGCTTGTTGTTGCTGTTGTTGTTGGTTGGGTATCTTCATCACCTCTGTTTTCTTTATATTCACTTGAAGTTTCGTCTTCGCTGCCCCTTCTGTCAAAACTAATAGCATAGAGGTGATTATTAGCCCCGGTTAACTCTTAGATTTCTATCCATTTCTTCATTATTAGTGTGTCATTATGAGGAGTGAAGTGGTTGAACACGCTGATTACTTCATTTAACTGCGGGAAGTATATAAACCTCAATGATTTGTTTGCTGACTTCCGGCGGTCGCTGGTTCGAACCCCGCTGCGGTTCAAATTTCCATTTCACCCTCAATCATCACCTGGTGTTATCATTATTATTACAGTTTTAGCACCATCTTGCTCTTTCTCCTCTTGTCACCAATTACTGTCGACAAATGACCACTTGATATAACGACTAGTTTTCTCTTTTCTACATGTTAGTTACTATCAATTATGCAACAAACTGTTTAAAATTTCGCAAATTTTACCATGTAATTAATTATTCTATACTCTAACCTCCTTCATGCCAGCCGTATTACTACGGTTAGCAAAGAGAATAGAGGCTAAGGGGGGGAAAGCCATGACAGTACATGGCACAGGTAAAGTAGTGATAGACTAAGATAATGCAGTAATGCTTAACATGAGATGGCAATGCTGATGGTGGGAACTTATGGAAACCACCCTTATCTGAGGTCATTAGACCCAATATACACCCTTTCACCCTCCCTTCCCTTAGGATTAGAGTAACTATCTTCCCCTAACCCTGTATATGCATATGAAAGTTCTTACTGGTTCTCAAATGCAAAACAGTCACCATTTTTAAGCATTTGTAATAGAGCTTAAACTAGGATGTGAGAAATGTACTACATAAAACCTCAAAGGTATTCTACAAGTAGACTATTAGACTATATAGCCCCTTATTCCTAGTGCCCTCTTTAGCTACTCTAGTTGACAATATTGCTTCCCCAAATTCGAAGACGACTAACTTCACTTCTCATGCCTCTACGTTTTTCTTTCTCACCTGATATGCAGATTATGATGGTGGAACATGCCAAAACACTGAGATACACTTTGAATTTCTATTCAATACGCAAAAACTATCATCTTTTAGCACTTAGAGATGCAAAATCCCTAGACTACAACCTCTCTTAAATATATAACTCCAACTGGGATGACAATTAGAAATATTGGTATAAAATGCCATTTGCATCCACCAAACATGCAAGTTCTTTCAGTCCTTACAACCACTCACCTGAAAA